AGATTATCATTTGTAGCCCATGCCAAGTGCGAGAAGTTAGAAGGAACGTGGATTTGTGATGATATGAGACATGATCCTCCTTCCTCCACCCCATTGTTTGGAGACTTCATGCTGGAATGTTGGAAAATGTTCCAATTCCGCCACGAAAGGCAATACCTTGTCGTCGACGCAATCACTGTATACGCGCACACGGTATTTACCCTCCAATTTGATGATTCACTTCTGCAGGCGAATTACACCTCCTACTGCAACATTAGGAGAAATAGGCATGGACAGCTAGAAGCAAACACGTTTTACGCATTACAACAATTCACGAGGCAATGTATACACACGATAATGTGAAAGTCAACTTGATAGGAGAAAGTTGGCCTCGACTCGTGTCTCGTCGGAGTGGTTCACCAAGAGAGCGATCGAAATGCTCAGATCCCTCCAGACACCACAAATCAACATATAAGTAAGATTTTGCCCTCAAAGGAAAAAGAAGCAGAAATCCAGCTCACCTGGGCGAATCCTGTGGATGCGTGAAGTGCACCTCCCCACTCAACACGTCATCTTGATGAAGTGGCAATGGTCTTGACAAGTAAAGCAATGACTGCTGCCAGTGAGTAGAACTAGGTTGAAAAACAAGCCATAAGTATGTGTGCCAGCCCTCACACAGCACTTATGACTAAGGCCAGCAATCCTCTCTTGCTATCCAAATTGAAGTTCTCGCCTGAATTGAGGCGGACATAATGACCGTAATCAGCACTCACGCCTTATAGGGGGAGGTTGAAAGCACATCGCCGTCCGGAAATTCCACGGAAAACCAAATGACAAGCCCCTTCGCCAACACCGTGCCCATCGATTTCACCTCGAAAGTGCCCTGACAAAGCCAAACACTCAATTGCATGTAAATATCAAACAACTAAAATGTGCCTAATATATGAATAAAACCGTTCGTACTGGAGAAGTATCAACGAAGATGTGATGGTGGTAAAGCCGTTAAACTTCAAGTCAATTTTGTTCAATAGACTAAACCTCTCATTACACCTAACGTGCACTTTGCAAAGGCATATATCTGGCAAACTAGCAAATGCACTCTTTTCGCCGTTAATGTTTTACAGATGAAAAAGCGATTCAGCAAGGAATGAAGATTTGATGAGCCATCTTGCGTCAACGTCAGTCCGTGCACAGTACTGCTGTTGTAGATTTACAACGTCCTTTAAATACACCCTCACGTGCTCCCAATGCTTCAGCAAACTCATTCGGAACTTATACCTGCACTTTACCTTACTTCCTCTCACATCATCTTCCACAATCTGTTCCAATGTTGTAGTGTTAGTGTGTGGTACCCTCCCTTATCTTATTCCACATTATTAAGCGAAATGGCTTACAAAAGGTAACCCCGAACATCCCAACAAATGTAGAATGAAAATGGGTTCAAAGAACACCTAAGCTAAGTTTAATTTTCTTATTCCACTGAATTCTAACGATGAAAGTGAAGTACCAAATCTGTTGGAATGACATGATGCAATCAAATTGGCAATGAGAACACAAACCTTTATTCCCTGTGTGCACAATGCCTCCACCGAAAGGACCGCCAAATCCAATGTTGCCACCACCGAAGTCGAGGAGACAACACACTGCGGATCGACCATGTCCACATGCACACGCCTCTCCAAGTCCTCCTGCACCGCACGCGCAAACGCTCCGGTCAAATTCACCTTAGACAGTTTAACAACAGTTAACACTTGCTTCAGCCTTTCATTCCAACACCACCACTACTCTGCATTACCTCTGAGTGCTCACAATGCGCTCCTTCCTTACTACACCTTCCATCCTAACTCATACAATCGCTTCTCCCAACATGACACCAAATACTCTTCGGCAAACACTTCTTTGCCATGACATGCTATTTCGAGGTTGGTGCACCTAGCCTCTGCTTCTACTTTGAAGCACTCACGTGCATGGTTCGCAGCACTAGCCAGACCACAACGCTCTAGTCTCTCGTCATCATCTTACACACCATCGGAGCACTTTCCCTCCACAACACACAATTCGTTTGCAAAAATTTGCGCCCTGCCCCTCTGTTCCCTCATTGCCATGATGCAGAGACTGCAGCTTTCAGTCTTTATGACATGGTGCGGCTCTAGTTACCAAAGCGCCATTTCCATTTTCCAAATTCCAGTTGTCTATTGCATAGCCAACTGTCGCGTGTCAAGGAAGTGGATTGAGCATTCACGTAAAGACAAATGTCATGCCACATCACAACGCTACTTGGCATGAAGGAATCTAACAACATTTGCTCCAAGCCCCCTAACCGCACCAACAAAGGAGCACGCGACATGACCAAAAAATTGTTCTTATTCACACACAGATCCGAGGTAGGGCGTGGTAACTCATCAACGTCATCGGTTGCATCCTCATTCCCTACATCATGGCCACGTGCCAAACCAATTGTGCGTGGTGAAATTAGTCAATCGCATTGCCTGCCTTCTTTAAATGCCACACAACACGCTGTGTCTGAGGTAGGCCAACTTCTACTACTACTGCTGCTGCCTTAATGTTTATTAGTCAACCCTTCCTCACAACCTTAGGAAGCGCAATTCATCTCATGCACTCTATTCACAGCCAAAACACAGTGAAGGTGGCAGACACTACTTCCTCCCTCCATGCGTCGTCTACCTGCATCACCTCACACAAATGTGCGTTCTATGGGGTGCCTGTGCCAAAGTAGTGCTTTCCACCTAATCACCTCTCACCTACTTCCACTCTTTCCTTGTCCGTGCTCGAGTGCAAACAGAATGCCCTCTGCCCTCCACTATGTACTGATGACATCAACACGGCATGACTCGTGTTAATAGGCCCGTGGCAATGGCAATGCCAGTCTTTCCCACAAACTATATGCCAGCCTTTGTTGTTGACACCGAAGAGATCCGCCGCCAGAAGGCGTGTGCTTCATACTCTGTTAGTCTAAATCGCGTTGTCCTGCTGCCTACTACTTCACCGCACACTTCCATCAAATAGGTCTCTGCCTCTCCCCCATTCCTTGCCTCTATTCGCCCAGCACATCTACACCGAGATGTCCCCCCTTCGCATCGCTTTTCCCCGCCACGATGCCTTCTTCCCTCCTCCTTGCTGTCTGTGTGCAAAAATGCCAGATGCAACTGACCGCCAAAAGGAACCTTCTCCAATACATGTACATACATATATATGCTTTTAAATTCTTGTGAAGATGGTCGCCCAAATTAGCCGCAATCGAGTGGATGCCATATATAAGAGGAGGAGAAGGAGGATGTGTCAACCCATCGAGGAGGACGTGATTCAAGGTAGCCCATTTCATGAACTGCCTTTACAACTCCATTTCAAAGCTCTCCAAACTCTTAATATCTTCAGAAAATCTCCATGTGACATCTTGAGGTGCTACGAGACAGCTGAATCCACCATCCACTAGCAGTCCAAACCATCGGTCCAGCCTCTACGATTCATCACTCGCCCCTGAAACAACAAAGTTGACCGCAAAGCATGCACCGCACCCACCCCTACCACATACGACAGCTTAAAACCTTCCTCATATTTTGTCGCATTACAATCTTCTACAGGGTTCCTTAAGCTCCTCATACACACCACACTCTCCCCATCCTCCTCCATCTCCTTTCTTTGATCAACGTGTAAAGCAGAGCGGATGAGGGGAGAAGGTAGTGCTGACGTGGCTGCATTTGAGAAGTAGCGAATGTAGCATTTCTTGCATGAAATCAATGCCTCCTCGTAATACCATCATCACCTTCAAAATTATCATCATCATGACAGAGGATGAAGTCGAGCCAAGATTTTCTCCTCCTCCTCATTGCCATTTCTTCCTCCATTATAAACGCCTACTCACCACTCTCATCAACATACCGCGCTTCTATCACTACCATTGCCGATCCCCTCCTGAAGGTGTACACGCGAAGTGAGTGTTCGAAACCATACCGACGTCTGCCAGGACAGATGACACTCACACTGCAATGCCTGGCAAATGGCACAGAAATGACAAGTGGTGCATGAGGGCTTCCCCGCAGACGCCTGCATTTTCATGTCAGCAACGCAGATCAACTTTACGACTTGTGGGTACATGAAAAGCAAATACTCGAACAGCACATCAACTCACTCCATAGAGTTTGGACAGTTCTTCCCACTGTTGTGGATATTCAGCGCAATTTGCCTTCCCTCCTTCCTCCTCTTCACCATAACCATTCACAGGAGCTGTCGAGAAGGCGGCAAGGGAGATGGAGGCACGACAGGGGAAGAGACGCTCCCGACGCCAACTAGTCAGATCGACCGTGGTGTGGGGAGGATGAAGGTACCGATCCCGAGCGCACAACACCGACGACAGCATGTTCTCGTAAAGAAGTGCATGGCCCATCCATTCACTCACTATAGCATCAACGCGATCAACGCCAAGTTGCGCGTCCTCCACTTTGCTGTTTATTACTACGTAGCGAAATCGAAATAAGAGAAAAAGTCGAACTCTTTACCTCCTCCAAGAGGTGGCAAGCAAACCTCACTAGCCTGATTCTACTTAAGCTTTCAGCAGAAGGAAATCATATTCAACAATAGCACAACAAGCAGGCACCACATAACCAAAGTTTCACGTTTCAGCTGTCTCAGCAAATCAAGACGCTTCAGGTCACCTGTTCCAACACGCCACACCTCCACCTGCCAAGTGAGCAGGAGAGACTACATTCGCGTCTGGACATGAGACTCTTCACGTAAATGAGATCATCCCTGAGGTTATTTTAAAGACGGCTTCCTTCAACACCATCCCTGTTACGTGATGCTGTTGCACACATGCGCCAAAAAGGAATGTTGCCCAAAGTCTCCGACACCCTCACCTCATCGTACGTTATGCTCAACGCCTCCCTCCGCCATCTCACAGTAGTCGCATTATGCCCATGCGCTCATTCGCTTACAGTCAAGTGCGCAAATTGAAGTCCTCCACTCTGACCCCGAGTTTCAGAGCTGATGCTCACAATACCCCTCACCTACTTCCACATCTGACATGATCAAACGTGACACCTTATCTCCCACCCATTACTACACTTGCTTAACTCTCAAATGCTCACCGTCGTGATTGGCTCCCCAGCAACTGCCAGTAGTGTGATGGCAGCTATCACTCCTGCTTCATTGACTTACTGTGGCAAGATGCGAGTCCCAAGAGGCTTACACTGGATGGACGCGCCTATAACAACGCACGCTAAACAAACTGCGCGCCACAAACCTCCTCCACACCACAACACAGAACATCCTCTTGCAACACTATAAAATGATCGTCATCATCACCTCACATAATCTCACATCAATGTGGAAAACGCCCCCTTCACGACTTGCATCAGCGGAGCAACGATTCGAAGGATCATTGGTGTCGTGACATTGTTTAGGAATCGACATTTTAACCATCAACCTCTCCTCTTCACAATCCCAACAAACAGCACGCCAAACACCTCTCCTATCACTGCTTAGTTAGCGTGATCACGGTTTTAGTAATTGAAATTTTATCTAACATTATACAAACCATCTGCGAGGACGATCAAAGTTTATCGCACCATCACCACCTCGATGCCAACGTTTTATCATATTCAATTTTGTATAGCACCCCGACTCCTTTTTGCAAGGAGGATTGATGAAGTGGATGGAATGGATAAAAGGTAAATGGTGTCATGAACGTGGAAAGGAACGATGGGAGTTGTGACAACTGCTAGGTGAGAAGACAGAGAAAAACCCACCTGTGATGGCAGATGACAAATGGTTTTCGGCAATGATTTGGCGAGCTAGGCTGCAGAGGTTAGCAACGCCATCAAGGGCGTAGACATGAGCAGCGCCCGCCTTGGCCCCGAACATCGAGAGGATGCCCGTACCGCAGCCAACGTCCAACAGCATCCCACCCTCCAGACGTCGTCGAGCTCGAGTCAATGCCAGTCTGAAAATAGTCGAGTATTCTTAGGTTACGAGGCGAAGGAGGAGGTGCAAAAGCAATCATTGCAAATATTTACACTTTAGGTTCTCTACTGTCACTACAAAAACAAAATTGATTGTTGGATTCGATATCCGGTTCCTTTAGGTAAACGCTTTGCAACTCTCACGTCAAGCCTGTGGATCGCACTCGTGCATTGTAAAGAGTAGGTTGATGTGGAAAAAAGACACTTTAAGAATTCCATTACAGTACAAAGTACTGTCTGATTGGGAGACTACATTACATCGAAATTTCGCATGCATTGTGAATTAACAAGATGAGGAAGCGGCTACAATATAAGCAAAAATATCGACTATTAAATTGACGATAAAATAGTCACCACAACCCCATTTGATGTGATGTAAATGGAACAGACAAGGAAAATGGTTGGTTAGATGGGCTTTGGAGCAAAACCACCATGCGAGAGGTAAAGGCGAAAAGACCCGTTTCACTTAACAATGCGGCAACACGGTTATTAGGAAAGTTCACATCGCAATAAGTGATTAATTGTAACGACTTTGTGCTGAAATACAAGGGCTTCACTTGCACCAGACGAAGTAATACCCCACATTTCATGTCCCTTGGTCACCAAACCTTTGCAAGGAGACATCTGCTTAAAGTATTTCAGCCAGTTTTACCGACCTCAACGTTCCTTCCAAAGCCGAGAGGAGAGAACGCATTAGAACGTTCTTCGTCATCTAATTACACCTACCGCATTCGCCAAGCTTTCTTGCAAAATTTGCATACCACGCCAATCGCCTTCCGACACCAATTTATGGCTCTACATTGTTTAAAACCTGACGACATGAAACTGCTATCCCAAGGATTGTAAAGCTGCCCTCAATGTTTAAAGCGCTCCCTCCCCAGCTGATGCCGAGAACAGCGAAAGCCTAGCAACTCCACTGCATAGCTTTTGGGTTATGCCTATGGTCCTTCATTCTTACTGTGCATTGACTGCAGTTTATTCACACAATGGAAGGACCACCGACAATCTTCGTAAGCTAAAGCATTCAATCTACGCATAATCTAGCCCTTACTACTTACTAGTTGGATTGAACTCAGGCAGCTGTAAATGCCTAGCAGTGAAGGACAAACAAAGCAGCAAAGGGCATAACTTCAAGGCCACTACTCACGAAACTAGGGCGCTTTTCACATTCCCCCTCGTCCTAATATGCTTTTCCAATAGGACAAAGCTTCCCATCCAAGAGCCATTAATAACGTTCAGCTTGAATGTGCTCTCAGCCACAAGTGCTGTTAATGGCTGGTGCTGATGATTTGTCCGCGCTTCTGTCTTCAAAGCACCAACCAGACGCAGAAGGATAGTAAAAGAAGGCGTCGAGGGTAGCACTTAATAATAAAGGGAAAGCCTTAATAAATTTTGTTAAGTTGCTTAAGGCCTCTTGATTATGCCTCCAATGGGCCAAACTGCCTCTAGCCTGTGCCAACAGACCTTATCCTCGGTCCCTCTCTAAACTGCCAATGCATTCTCTACCCCTGCATTAGAGCTCCTCTCATCGAGGTAATGCATGGGCTTAAATGTTCACTAACAACACCCGAGTTAGATTTGAGGTTTAGCACGCACACAAAATCATGGTAGTTGCCGTTCCATGAAGTTGACTCCATTTGTCACTGAACCGTTGTGGGTGCAAAACCCTTTAAACAAAACAAATGATCCGTGAGCCTTTAGATTTCACATTTCTACCACTGAGGAATAAACCTTCGGACTAAAACAATAATTTGCGCGATAGATTTGAAATTGGACAAAAATTTGAACTCTCAAATTTTTCCATATTTTAGGAAGTCCAACCCCAGGAGAATCTGCAAATATGAGAAATAATGTCAGCTTCATTTTAGATGGAGGGAGGACTCTTTAAAAGGCGGTAAAATCAACGTTGCTACGTGGAAAGGCGGGAAAAGATGGTATGTATTATGAATGGTCAGATCAGCACAAGTAAATACCAGAAGGACTGCCGAAGTGACCAACCCAGGCCTTCATGTTCTCTTGTGAATGATGTGAAATGCAAAAAAAATCAGATTAAAGGCTTCTCGAAGATATTTGTAATGAAATTAGATGGATACATGAAGTGCTCATCTTGCAAGGCCCAAGAGACCGAAGTCAGCCTCGAAGGAAAGCAGGCCGGCGCCAAAATGCGAAGAAATATAGAGGGAAGCTCGCCTAACCATTTCATTGAATGGTTTTTTTGGCAAACCTTTAAACTTGTTCCCAAATACACTCCAGACTCGAGCAGTAAACCGAGTTAGATTCAAGCGACACATTGCTGAGGTTTCGGTCGGATATTTTAAAGAAAGATATCAGACGCAACGTCTGATCTAAGGCAATGCATGTGCTTTTTACTGCAAGACAATGCGTTCCTTGTAAATGAAATGCGGCATCCTGCGCATAAGAATTAGCATACAAACAGACGCAAGAGAGACCTGACAACGCGGTAGATGCGTGTGTCTATGTGCTTTTCGCCTAAAAATTCACAACATAGGCACACTACCTATTCTATCCTAGGCGGCGATTTCCTCCATGTTTCCTACGATTTTTGAACTGACTTTCAATAATAACCTATCATGCTGCAAGTCAGCGAGGAGCCATGTGGAATGACAAATCATTCCAAATGCAGGAGTACATAGCGTAAGGCGTAAGAATAGCAATGGGATAGTGTGATGCGTATAGGACAGAGGTTTTACAGGGATGGAGACCATTTACTAACGCCAAGGTTGACCAACCTACAGGAATTTGATGAAAGTTCTCTCCCCAGTGCCGTGCTTTGGCAAAGATTCATGAAGGCTAGTGGAGGTATTCACGACACAACTTGTGTTTAAAGGCAGGTCGAATGATAATCAAAGAACTAGATCTTACATTAAAAAATAGCCTCAAAACCTCAAAACAAAACCTCAACACAAAACTAAGGCATAAGGTTAGAGGGGAGGAGGGTTACTTAAGGCAAAGATGTGAGGAAGATTAAGGCAAAAGCCCCTTATTACTTAACCATGACGATTTCGCTGATGATGTCACCCGCATGTACCATACAAACTTTCTCAATCTGCCATTTGTGAGTTGTTGAAAATAAGCCATGTTGTAAATGCATTACTTGAGTTGCAAAAGATCAAACAGAGGCAGAATGCTCTTCTCAATCAAAACGACTACGTTTTTTGACAGCAGAGGCCCCACGTTCTGCAACTCCCTTCCTAGACTCTGGCCGCGAACATACCGCTTATTTCCGAATAAGGCAACCGATTCCTTTCAATTTTATCGGCGAGGGTAAATTCTTAAGTCGTGCCTTAGTAAAAAATGCAGAAGAAAATTGTTTAAGAGTCGACATCTGTGGGGACAAATGACTCAAAAAGAGCTATTTAGGTGGCATCCTGCCCTCGAAGGCCGATGGAAGAGGAGAAACTATTGGAGTGGCATTCTGTAATGATGTTTAGGCATTTCTTCTTGCAGATACTGTAACACTAGTAGCTTAAGCCTTCGTTTTGATTACTTGAAGAAGTAAGGCTTTACTATTTGTACTGAAATAATTTTTAAAAAGGTGGGCATAAGCATCACTTACTGATATGTCAATGTGCGAACCTTGTCCGACAGCATGAGGGCGTGGACGTCAGCAAAGGAGTACGACCTAAAAAAAGGAAGAGCGAAAATATTGTGGAGAAAATTTTCAAAAAAAGGAATCTTAGCCTGCTCACTAGCTTAGAGCACAGATTTGCGATTGAGATTTCGGTATTGCTACCAAGGTTCAAGTCTTAGCATATTTAAAATGTCATTCTTCAGACGAACTGGAAAGTAGACGTTGTGTTGCATTATATTACTAAGTGAACGAAGCAGAGATAGTAGTCACGAAACGTCAGTTGCTCGGATGTACAGTTTAACCAAACATGTACCTCAGATGCTCTCAAATATCAGCCAATTAAGCACCACCTTCGACGAAGTTACCTAATTCTTCCGGTTTGTGTTAAAATTAAAAGAGAAATGCTTGTAAAGCTAGACATGTAAATCTTAAAAGGACAAAACTTCTGCCTGTAACTGCATGAAGAGAAGTACTACAATGCGCCACAGTATTGGCACAAACCAGTAGAGAACCCTCGCCGGTGACAAATACTGCCACCTACTTTCATTTTCCTGAGCCGCTACCAATGCACATCACTTGTCATCCCATCCAGAGCTTTGGCATAAATAACAATGTAAAAGCCTCGATGCGCCTCGCATTCCTATAAGAATGTTCACATCGAACACATTGATCAACGGCACCACGAAAAATTTAGGCGAATTTCAAGAGAAGTGTGTGTCAATGAGAAACGAGACTTCCTTAAAGGAAGTAGGCCTAATTCGGGAACTATTTACCGTCTACCGTGAATTTAGTAAGGGGTAAAGGAGGATCGACCAACAAAATGTCATGGTCGACTCCCGGACAGTCATGTGATCAAAATAGACGGTGAGATGCACACGCAATCACATATGGTCAGTTGGGCCCTGCCAACATAGCGAATTAGAGGGAGAAGGTTTGCAGCCGCAACACGTATTCTCAACTACGCATCAGGAAAAGGAATTTTTAGTGCAGATGTTCCAAAGTGCAACAAGGAGAACACGAGTACCTAAAATAGGATTCGTCGTCTGCCGTGTTGCCTGTGCCTTTGTTCTACAAAAAAATGAAGAAAGACGTTTAGAGTGCGAGATCACATGCAGTCCATTCTATTCTCAGCAAAGGTGTGTCAGTATGTAGTTATCCAGTACTTATTGTCAAAATGACACAAGAGTCTTGGTGGCTTTATGTACCGTGGAGATGCATCAAAAACGGATTCTTTCTAGGCTGCATTTTGGTTGTAAAATGCCTTAATTTCTAGGATGCGTACCTTTGATGAAGCCTCTTCATCGTCGTCAATCTTTGACCTTTTCCTTGTAAGAGCCTAGGTAATTGGGATGAGGAAAGCAGTAAAGCGCACTGAACACCGAGGCTTCTTCTATACATACAAAATTCATAATCTGCAATACATCATATGACTTTTATAGTTTCAAGAAAATCTGTTCTATTATTATGCAGTGGAATGTGCATCGTCTATCCCACTCACATGTTATTTGTTAAATTCGATACAAACATTAATTTGTTACCTAGGAAAGGAATGCAAAGTGTGCATTCCCAACTGGTGTCAGACAATAACAGATGTTCACAAAACAAACCAACCATAAATATACAAACCAAATATCAACATCCACTACAGAATCTCAAGCACTCTCGAGCATTTGTTACGAATAAAACATTTAACATATCACCTGCCCTACTAACTACTTGGTAAACCAATAAAAAAATGCATCGCAAAAGAGCGAAACCATAAAAAGCGACGTATTTTTTCTCATTAAAGTGAGATACAGGCGAGGGAGAAGAGTATGTAATGGAAGACAAAAATCGCAAATCTAAGTTAAGAAGGAAGGTCAAGTAAATGCTTGAAAGACTTGTTTAATCATTTTCTTCTGTTGAAAACAGGAGCCGCCTCCTTAGCCTCAAGGAGAGTGACGGGACGCTCAATAATGGCGGAGATACCACATAACCAATAATCACGCTCCTCCTCTGAGGCAGCACAGAAAACAAAGGAGCGATCAGGGGTAATCAATGTGATCGGGAAATCAGTTGGCACCTTCTTCCATGATTCAGGCGCCTTGCTCTCCACCGAGTAACCGTCTTCTGAAGATCCGATGAATATCTCGCCTTTGGCGAAGGCCGACTGTGGTGTTAAAGTGTAAAGGAGCCAACGCTTTGTCAACATTACCCAACGTCGCCGGAAAGTATAGCTAGCATCAGGACCACCCTTTAACAACCACCCAACTTTCTCAAGGTCTGAGGTCAGGTATGAGACAATCTCATCCATTGAAACCTTTTGCCCTGTTCCCGAGAGATGCAGTCGCAGGCGTTGGTACTTGCACAGTCGTAGAGTATTATACCAGTTGAGGATCTCACGGCTATCCTCGCTTCGGACAAAGATATGACGAGTTGAGTGATCCTGTACGAATTGAATGAGGGCTGTATTTGACGGCACTCCAAAAGCCTCGCAATCCACGAAAGTCATGTTGCAGCGTTCTACATCGATACACTCTTTGGGGTCGGTGTTTGTCAACTTTATATAATACTTAAGGGTATTTGTCGTACAATCGATCTCAAAGAGACGAGGAACGAATTGTGCCGAGTCACGCAACTTTTTGAATAGCTGCCCACTTTTGGCGCTATTGGAGAAGCCCACTTGAAGACCTTTGGCGGCAGCACCTTTGCTGAATGCCCGTGCAATGTACTTGTAGCAAACAAAGACTTCACGAAAGAAGGCTGGACAAGTGGGACCGGGCCAAGGACGTCGATAAAAAACAGGAAGCTCAGCTTCAAGCTCTTCGTTGACCTGGCGGTTGCCTTTGCCAGGAGGGAGAAGGGTTCTCAGTTCTGCTTCCGTTGAAGACTTCAAAGAAGCCAACGATCGCCATCCACCACCCAGTTTCACATGAATCTCTAGCGATGCCAAAGAAAATACGTGATAGTGAGAACATACCTGTACACTCCTTACAGATGAATACAGTATAGTCCGTGGAGAGACCGAGAACACAAGTGGACTTGCAATCTGCACACACGCTGTTATCGTCCGCCCTTAGCGTCTGATCAATAGGCATCTCTAAGGAGGAAAAGCCATAAAATGACAAATGATTTTGAAGATCTTTGAAGGCTTAGAGATCGGTGGTTGGATGTGTTATTATGAAGCAACAAGCAGGCATCACAGTGTGACGGCGTAGGAGAGTGAACAATGCACAGACCACACCTACCAGGCTTATTTTCCAGCTTCAGCATTCTAAAGACCATCAAAGAATAGGAAAACGAAAGTAAAGAAATAATCAAGCTACTGAAACCAAAGCACTGTTTAACAATATCATAGGGCCAAACCATAGAATTCGGATGCGTCAAAGAGCAAGCAGAGTAGGCTGGAAGAGGGTTAGCAATGATAGCATCGGCAAGATTTATTTATCTAAAGTATAAACTGACGAAATACGATTCACTTCTGCATGCGCAAACGCATGAGTTAGTATTGAAGGTAAGGTGGAAATAACAAGTTCGTGTGCTACGCTTCTATCAATGAGCACAAAATCATGATCCGGAAGACGTGATAACTCTAGCTGCTGCATAAAAAGCAATTTACGCTGTGTTTGTGACAAGCCTAGAAAAATACATACGCCTGTCTACAGGTAAAGCAGCCTTCAGAATATAGCAAGTTCAAAGAAACAGGAGACAGGTTTTAAACGAAATAAATCTGAGATTTTAACAAACACACAAGAGTGCTCGTCAAAGATTGTGCAGAAAAGCAGTAACTCAGTGTCTGAAACAGACACCACCAAACGTGCCTACCTCTCACGTAGTTCACACAACTGTGAAAGGTGGCCCAAGTGACCTACATGAGAAGGACACCTAGTTGATACAAATGGTCAAGACGATCTTGTGATAGAATAAACTATCAACAAAATAACAAAGTATGAAACAAAAATATCAAAAGGCATTTTTTAGCCAAAAGCACCTAATTTATAGGAATTTTTGAAAAAGAAATAAATTTATTTGCAAGCATAAATAACCAATAACATTATCTTTTAGAAATTGCCACAAGCTAACGCAAAGATCACCCATGCAATCAAAACTACGGGCTTTAGTTGTTTATTAGCTTTCCTTTAAGTCGGGGAAGCCATTACGTTTGGCTGAATGCATATGTGCTTGGGAGTGGTGTAATACATACTAGATGTTTTAAGTGAAATTTTATAGGAAAGAGGCAGAAACCAATTGGGAACACGAATCATTTGAGTGAGGACGGTGAGGAGTCTCTTTTCAGTCGATATCTCCCATTCGGTCCATCTGCATATTTGTCCCTATTTTTCCTGTAACAAATGCAACCAAACCCTCTCTTGAAGCCCTAGGTTCAAGGGCTGGAAGGTAGGCAGGCAGCTCCTACAAGTGTTCCATGCATGTAAGCGGCGGGCGAATGTTAGGGTAATAGCCAGATATCATGGGATCAGATAACTAAGGCATTACGCTGCCCATCCTTCCTTTTGAGTGAAATTATTGGCGCACCCCTTGGTGCACCTCACGCACCAGCTACGACTGTTTTTTTTTTCAAAATTCCGCGAATGCACCCACGAGACATCCGCGCCAGTCATCTTCTACATGATTGGGTCGCATACGCCTGTTGACCATTAATTGCTTTCAGGATGCGACGTTGGAACATTTGTCCCAAACAGATGTTCACAGGAAAGCGGAGATCACGCAATGTTCTTATGTAAGGGATCCGGAGCTTTGTCATCTCTAATATCTGTATGCGAACTTGGTAAAAGATAGCTTTTTTAAATGTTTCACCGTGGTGTCGATTCAGTTGTCAATAGCTTATCTGTGGAATAATGGGGACAGGAAAAGCTAAGCGCAGGTATCATTGTAAACCCTTCTGTTGTAAAGGGATTGCAGATACTCTTGCCCAGAGCGCATGCGATTCTTTCGCAATATGGACGCATATAACAATGGCTACCACCAGGCAATGAGTTAATTCCTAAATGCTTTCAAGGATGATGCGAATAAAGGGATCTTCAGTACGCCCGAAGGCAAGTCCACGCGCGACCGCCAGACATGCAGATGGCAGCATAAGCAATGTAATGCACGAGCAATTAGGATTTTTTTGCTTCAATTTTCTTTTATATTAGTGCAGTGCATGGTAATTTGATGCCTACACAAAAGCGTGCCTGTTGTTTTATGCTACCTTTTTCCTTATTTAGTTGCAGCTTTTTTTTTAGTTCCCAAAGCATGTAAAGCACTAACAATGGTCGAAAGGATTCCTAAAATGTATACAATGCTACTTAGTTATTTATTTGAGTGCTTGTGCAAATGGCACATGCAGACGCATACCTTACTTTTACCGCCTGGGCTAGCTTATGGGCCTCACTTACACTCTTTTCCCCGGAATGCAAGCGTTCGATTAAGTTGGTGCCTTCTATTGCCAAATGGAAAGTCGTGAAATCATACGCTGGTGGCAGCTAAAATCAAACTCGACCATATTACAACTTAAATACTGACTCTCACTGCCTGTGCCACACTTCTGCAGTGTGATTCAGGTGCCGTCAGCATTTGGCATCTGATCCATTCTAATTCCATTAGCAAGCTATTGACAACTGAAGTGACACCACCGTTACAGAACAAAAAAGTGGATTTCAGGATTCACTTTACCGCATCGGCGTATAAATATCGTCGGTGGTGGTACGCTGCCATTTTTAAAACAAAGCTACTTTGATCCCATTTTTTCTGCTACACATCTGCTTTGGATCACTGTTCCGCCGTCAAGTCCTGCGCGCAACTGATAGTCAACAGAAGTTGCTGCCTCTGATTTTAGCCATCAGATCCAGTTGCGGCTGTTGAGAGGGTCAAGTTCCCGAAGGCGACGAGAAATTAGCTTAAAAGTAAAGAGAAGCAGTACAGTGCAGCCTTACTCTAAAATTGCATATATTTGGACAAGTCATGTACTTTCTATTGCCAGGTGGTAAAGTCCAGGACGTTACAGTATACACTCCGAGATTCTTCGACGTGCCAACTGGAGCGGTTCATGACTTCTCATTAGGCAACAGAAGGTATAAGGCTTAACTGTAAACCTGTATTCACGGAGACAGAAAAGAGGAAGTTCTGTCCTCTCGGTAGGAACCATATGACAGCCGGAGAAACCGTCATCATTACGGGTATTCGAACTAACAAAATGTTACACCAACAATGAATTTTTCTATGAATAAAACATATTGCGATGTGTTGTTTATTTGACTGGCAGCCACAATAGGAGGCCACTTTGTGTCATCACCAGTGTTCCTTACCCATTGGAGTTAACCTATGGAGTGTATTCGTAACTAGCTTCGACAAGAAGAAGGGTCTGATCTCGAGCTCTTTAATCCAGATTGGAGACTTCCCTTACTACTTCGCGCCTTACCGTAGGACTTACGCCACGTGGCAAAGGACGCAGGTATCACTCCCACCTCAGAAATGGAAGACTGCCGCAAAGTCTTAGTCAAACTAGCATCTCTACAAAAGTAATAGTGTTTAGCTTCAGACTTTTTCCAGTATTTTCCGAAACCTTGAGAGAGAGGTGAGGAGTTTGCAGGGAGTCTCAAGCTTTTAGCCAAACAAGCCTTCAAAGACGGCTGCCCTCTCTGAATTACTGTATGGATAGCGGCCCAGCATATATGAGAAGAGGCAGCCTGGGTCGTCTCATTGATCTGGCAGTTGTTAAAAGTCAAAAGCTGTAAAGTTCAACGGAGTTCAACACCCGTTTTTGTCCTCGGAGTACCGGCAGTTAGCCAACTTTCTTTACAAAAAGGCGCGTTCATCCAAGCTGTCCCTCAAAAAGATGTACGCAACAACTTTCCTTGTCTTGCCTACTTCATTTTAGTTTCCCTTTAATCCCTTGCTTTTATGTGGGTACAGAGCAAGATGGAAAGCAGCACATGCACTTTCCTTCTGGACTCGTGAGCAGCCCGTTCGTTACTAAACCCACAGATTTTCACGCAGAAGGAAAGAAAATATCAGTACTTGGAGAAGCTTCTAACAGAACCTTGGGCGTATTATTAGGAGCCGACTTTTTACACCAGTCTCGAGCTTCTCTGGCCTTCGATAGAGGCATGTTCAAGACCCATCTATGGTCTAGGAAGAAGGCTCCAACATCTCAGCGAAAGAACGGTGCAGACGACATATGCCGGTTCCCCTTCGCTGCACTGACCGTCACTGGGACTAAGCCAAGTGATCTTTGCGCTCTACTAGAACGTGTTGCTGATGTCGAAGGGGAAGAACTTGCACTTGTTCCTCACGAATCACGCACATACCTTCTCCTGAAATGGAGTGAAACTGGGGCGAACGAACATAGTTAAACACATAATCGATACGGCTGAGGCTAAATTGGTTGGGCAGCCTCCGAGACGCATATGTTCCCCTTCTCATCCACTCTGGCCCTCGTCCATTGCATTAGTAATAAAGAGCGACGGTAGCCGACGTCTATGCATTGATTATGGGAGTCTCAATACTGTAACAAAGAGGGACAAGTTTCCCCTACTCCACATTAACGCCTCGTTGGGCTTTCTAAAAGAGGCCAAGTAGCTCCCGACGTTGCTCCTGAAATTCAGCTACTGGCAAGTGGAGGTAGCGAAGAAAGATAAGGGAAAAAAGCGCTCATTGTATCAAAAGAACTCTACGAGTTCCAAACTAGGCATCAGTCGCTGCCTATTCACGAAACACTGCATTCTCTATCTGGGCGACATCCCCATTTTGTATGAGGTATTCAGCAACAGAGACGCAAGGGATGTAAAGGTGAGAGAAGTTCTGTTCTAAAAGGACAAAGACGGAAGAGAACTAGTGATCGCGTACGTCATTTCATGCCTAAGCTAAAAAGATGAGACAGAAGAGTGTAGCAGAACAGGAACTGTTCCCCATCCATACAATGTTTAGGCATTTCACACTACTTAATAGGAAAGCGGTTTGTTGTGAGAACAGACCATCAAGCACCGACATGGTTGAAGAAGATGAAGGAGATCAACAGTTCTGTTGCACAATGATACGAGGAACTCCAGCAGTATGGCTTTCTTGTGCAATATAAAAAGGGAGCCCTCATGGCAATGCGGACGCCCTGCCACGGAGACATTTATCCCCTTCCACGGATAACGGCACAGTAGGTGCACTGCTATAGAACGCGCCTACTACCCATCACTAAAGAAATACGCCAAGTTCAAACTTCGATACAGCTCAAGTGTATGAGAGAATAAGGACAGCTTCGGTCAAGATTACAGTTGAAAAGATGAGCTCGGTGAGCAAGAGTCAAAAAAGTAGGGCAGAATTAAGAAAACTCTCCTGAGAAGATGACGTCATGTGGTATAAAGACGACAATGTGACAGTTCCTAATAGACGCCTCGCAGTACCAAGTTTCTTGACGCAGACAGCTATGCATCATGTGGAGGAAAGGAAGAAGGTTGACGCCACAAGCGAGAGGTAATGGTAACCTCGCTGCCGCAAATGCGCCACGAGTACCAGCTTCAAGAACTCACACCTCATCGCGGTAGCCCCTCTTTAGCCGATGCTCATGGGACTTCCAGGGAAGTAAGCAGGCATAGATATCATGGGTCCACTTCCGACGACCGCAGGAGGCAATCCTCATATTATGGCAATTGTGAACTATTTCACCAAGACCGCGGAAGCTGAACCGTTACAGGCCCAGGACGCTGAGACAGTGGCAACTATATACGTCAATTGCTGGATCTCTCAGCAGCGACGTACTAAATTCTGTACAAAGCGACCAAGAGCCGACTTTTGAAAGTCGCCTCCCCAAAGAGCTCTGCAAGACCCAGAATTCGTTAAATGCGTACGAAGTTGGATCACCTTCAGGGCAGTGGGCAAGCAAAGAGGACGAATCGTACACTTGTGTACCTACTGATGACAGGGTACAACCCCTGGGGCGTGCCTGCCTTGTCTACCGAGCCTCCCTCCCCACACATGGACAAGTCTCAAATGTTAAGATGCTCACGGGCCATAAAATGAGGGTCTTCTCAGGCATTACTCTTCCTCGTCGGTAGATAATGCAATCCAGCATTTCTTGTGACTAAAGATTAACCTCAGGGAAGTGATTAACGCTGCATGTATAAAAATACAGAAAGCACATTCTAGCCAAGAGATTCTACGGTAAACAGAGACGAGGAAATGCCTTTAACGGGGGAGATCTGATGCACCACTAAAGGTCTACCGGAAATTCTGTTGTCACTGGAGCAAAAAATCCTACCGCATAGTCAAGGTTCTGTTACCTACCAACTACCTTTATCAGAATGCGGACATTCGCACCCCACCCCAAATAGTACATCATAGCAAAATCATGCCATATACTGGTCCTCCTTCGGTAGGTTATGAAGATGAGATTTAGGTGTTGACAGAGGAAGAGATGCTACCTGACGGAGCTCTTACGGGTAGCATCGGGATGGTGCTTGAAAGAGAACGAGACTATGCAATACCCCTGCGTGATATCTCAAGAAGGCCAGTTTCGGAGGAAGCCTAATCGAAACAGCAAAAATTCCGGTGATTTCGCTGCATCATCATTGATATTTGACCACAGATGTGAAGGTATTCGGCATACTATGTCAGTGACGAGCTGAGGTGCAATATTACAGTAATGACCGATAGCAATCGGACGGGTGTAAGTAAAAGAATGGAATAGTTGTTTATTAGCTCTGCGTGTAAAGGACAAAAGAAAGATTCAACAACTATAAATTTTTAAAGTGCGCTCTACTAACACTGTAAAATGCATCTAACGCAATTTAAACTTGGCCATTCAACTCCGTTATTGAGCTCCAGGTTGTGCTGTTTAAACACCCAATTTATACAAAACTAAAGTAACAAGCACCTTTAAAATGATATAATTATGCATAAATAAATCAAAAATGGTTATCATTGACGATAAAACTCCATATTTTAAGCGTATTTTTGTTTATGAAGAAAGCGATTTCGTTGTGCTTTATGCCGTCCTGAAAGGTTTGGCGCGTTTATTAAGTAGCCGTTTTACGTGATTTACAGGGGGAATTTTTAACTGGGAGGGTAATTTCTCTTGGGAAAATATCATAATTCGTTCAGATTCTACGTATTCTCTTGTGTGGGTTACTGGGTGTTCAATTTCTAATCCTGAAAATTTTTGTCTTATAGAGTTTTTCTTTGGCTAAAGGATTTCAATTTCTGGGCTCCGGGTGTTACAACATAACCCTATAGGATTTTCTATAGCGTTTTTAAAAATATGACGAATCCCTGGCATGCTTTTTGTAAAGAACTTGCGTCAAGTTCCACTCACCCAGGTAAGACGTCAAATGCTACTAATGTCCTTTAGTCTCACGGCTTTCTTGCTTTAATTCCGTGAAAATTGATGGTACGGGTCCCGCCATTTAAAAGAACATTCTTTTAGGTCTGACTTCTGTAAAGCTGGGCTTCATTCCTGACGAACGGCTATTGGCATGTCGCTCTTGCGGTGTAATGTTCCTGCGTGGTAAAGCAGAGTCCCATTATGGTTCGCTTCCATCCATAGTTACAAGTTTTATATGTAGATGCATTTAACGAATGTTTGTCGAAAAGCACTTCAAAGTCTGATCTCTTGCCTTATCATGCAATAAGCTTGTGTCAAAAGCTCTATGAGGCCGCGCAGTTGGAAGAAAAACTTGCCAACAAGCGCTTGAAAGCGGAGTCAATTCGCAAGTCCAAATCCCTCAGAAACTTGTCACACACCAGTCACTTCGAAAATGTTTCTATCCCGACCGCCTCGGATCGCCAATGCAAACGCGCAAAACTTAAGCCTAGTGCTCTAAGTCATCCGACCCTATCTGGAGCCACGCTTGAACGAGATAAGATGTCCTCTTCGTCCAGCTATGATCGCCTTTCCTCTGGGGAAGTTAATAGCCCTGGCTCTGGTACCGAATCATCAAGCTCGGCACCGTCGAAGTTGGTTGAAAATCTACCAGATCCTCCTAGTGGATTCCCTCGAAAGGGTGTGATGGAGATTCTCCAAGAGGAGTCTGCTTCGTCGTCTTCGAAAACGCGTCGTATTTGTGGCGGCCTTACCAAGCCATTGACTTCTCATTCGCTTAGTCACTCTGTTAATTTACTAGCCAATTCGCATTCCCAGTCCTATCCATCGAGCCCTGTTTCTCCACCCATTTGTGATCAAAAAGAATCCGCTTGCGTGACGCCCAACGGTCAATCCACACGAAAGAAAATATCCGTTCGAACCATGCAGTCTGAGCACGTTGAGATACCCCGCATCTGCCCCGCCAAACCAGCGTCCAGAGAGTCTCAAGTGCATGCTCGCATGAGATCCCAATTCGAGCCATGCAATTCACATTCAATGTCTTTCAAACGACATCACATAGTTCGTAAACCTCCTCATTCTGTTGAATCAGTTGAAACAGTTGATTTAGTTTCTAACCCCACTCCAAATGCGGATACTCAATCTCCTCACGGTTATATTCCTTCTGATGAATCGGCTGCAACTCTATTTCATTTGGATCAAGAGAGCCGGGTGCCGATGGGACGCTCGCATTTGATGAGGCCAAACCGTATTCTAAGAAACGGTTCTAAAAGTAATCTGTTTGATTACACCAATCCGGCGACGACAGAGAAGTCCTGGAATGCTTCGGATTTTTCAAAGGGTTCTGATGCCTGGCAGCGAAGTTCGCACTTATCAATGGCGGGCGCAAATTGCTACGGGACCTTTGTAGACTTTGAACCGATGTATTCTCAGCAGACTGAGAAACGAGCAATCAATTCAAGCTTTGCAATGTTCAACCAAGGCTTGAGAAACTCCCCTGATCGTTCAATGGTTCAGTCCCGCTGTGAGCTTGATAGATTAAAGGAGTTTACCTCGGAGAGCATGCATCGGCAAGGCTTGCAAAATGGTAAACATCTTCAATATCTAATCTCCCTTCTCTAGATACTGTGATAAATTTGCTTACTCATTGTGGATGCATTGAGATGGGTGACCTGCGTTGCAAAAACTCGATTCTCTGTACAGTGAGTTTTGGTGACTTTATCCTTTCGTTTGGGCATAACACAAGGTCGTTACCCGATTTTGGTTCATTTACTACTCTGAATCAGTGTTAAAGTAATTTTTATCACAATTAAAGAATTAAAATGTGTGAGGTTTATCCACGCCTTGTCCAGTAGGAACAAGGAGAGCGGCACAGTCAAGGCATTAGAGTATTACATAGGGGAAGTACGCGATATTGTGCTCATGTGTAGCAGGCTTATTTTCAGGTGAAATCTAACCGATAGTAACCCCGTCGAGAGGTACATCCTTAGAAGAGTAATGCTACCCTTTGTGTTTGTATCTAGTCACAAACTTTTACAACGTAGCAACCACAACTAAGAATATCTGTTCCCCTGCCCGACATATGGCACCTCCTGAAACGGTTTGAAATTCTCCTGGTTTGGATATTACTTAAGCATCTCAGAAGCTTCTGGGCTTGGAAACTAGATCATATTCAGGGTAAATATCCGCAAACTCCTGTTAAAGAGATCAGCTTTAGGGTTCCACACTCTGTCTACCACGCAGGTTGCAAGAATGTGAGTTTTAGATTGTATCTGTGCTTGCGCTGTTTATAGACTTTATTTTCAGGCTTATTAGACGGCTTTGGCCGTATTTCCGACCCCCACCCATCAGTGACTAGTTAATAACGCATTTTTGATTGTGCTCAAAATCAAATTTTTTTGGGTCGCTTTAGGGATACTATGCAATCATTTAAGTATTTTGGGATAATTTCTGAGTCTGATCGGCTGATGCCACCATTTCTCAATAGAAAATTTCCCAACTCCCTTTCCTCGTCTCTGCGACCAATTTTTTTTTAATCCATGCTTTTGCAAGCGGATCGCTAAACCTAAATATACTACATCCCTTGTGGAGACAATTACTGCTTTTACTTGTTGAGGAGATTTGATACTTTCCTTTATCACTTCACTACTTAAGGCACGGCACCCATCCATAAGCATTCACATTAGGAGCTTAATTGAATGAGGTCTTGCCAAAATTAGTATTGCTCATTCTTATTCCAACCTAATCATTGGCTTCGCGACTTTGCCAGCTTAGTCTGGGTACCTCTGTTCATTCTTCAATTTGATAATTTTGTCACTTCGTTTCACTTTAACCATCATAGTTACGTTTTGCAAGGTACTTGACAATTGCTTTTTTTATAACCATTTTTACGTCCTTGAGATTAAAACGGACTTTTGTTAACCTTTTGGACAATGAACTGTCATTCTACCTCCTACCTACCTTCTGGTTTCGTTGGTTTCCTGTTTATCCGAACATGTTTCCGATATGTATGTTTATTGGACCAACTCAACCGGTTTTGCGTTGCACCACTAAATCTTGTTTCATAATTCAAAGCACTTGGCTCCCAAGGTAATTACGTGCATGGTTATTTTTAATGCGCCATCCATTGCATAGTTGACAAGGATGTGGTGTTTCGTTCTTATCGATGCTCATTTGGACATGGAATTTGTTTTCTTACCAAAAACTACTTCTATTCGATATGCAACGTCTCCAGACAGTTATATTCCCAGCTCCAAAATATTTTTTTATGTGTTGAATCTCTGCATAGCTTGCAACTTTCTTGATCTTCACAGTCCTCATTGTTTATCCCACCCTTTCTGTCCCTTTTTAAGACCCATACGTTTGAAGAAAAGCGACGGGTGTCTCGATCGCGGGACTTAAAGGTCTTACTTCACGAGGCGCGACAACAACAGCATTTAATGCGGTATGTTTCCAAGTGCTTTATTGCCCTACCTCAAGATGCAGGTGCATTTCTGATTTTTTTGTGTGTAGTGTCCGCAGGGGTATGTTCCTACGGATGCTAAAGATAGTTTTTCAAGTTCATCTTTGAATAGCAGATTTCGCCATTTCAACAGAGTCGAATGCCCAACTAGCTCTTGATTACACTTAAGATTACCTTTATGGAGCGTTCTTCTAATCGCTGTAGAGTATTGCCAAGAGCTGCAGCTTACACTAGCATGAGCACGACGCGTTTGCGCTTGTCGTGTTTGTAAAGGAATAGGTGACGTCAAGAGACAGTCGCAAATGGACACACAGTTGCAACGTCTCCTTAGAATCACCATTCTTTCGCGGTTTCAAAAGTTAACTCTTAACTTTTTTATGCTGTCCGTATATCGATAACTTTTATCTCTTTACTACAAATTCGGCTACTTTGCAATTGATTCAAGTGAGTTTAGGTACCCATCCAAAGTGTACTGATCCCCTTTCAATGGCTATAGACGTAGGGAGCGGCAGTGACTGATAAACAAACAGTCTCCTTTTCGTTTGGTTCAAAAAAGTCAAGTAATTATATTGTACCCGATTTTTTTGAGGACCCGCTTTACCGTTCCCGTTCGGTCCTCGTATATCACTAGTCTATTTTAAAAGTTGAATCAATCTTTATCCTTGTTTTCGCTCCCTGCAGCGTCCGCTACATAGGAACGAAACAAAGTTTTCTTCACAACTTTTCCTCTGGCTTATTTTGGTGTTTCACAGTTCGTGCCAAGCCTATTCCTCCGCCCTGATTTTCATGCTCTGATCAGAACGACACTTCATTTAGCTGATTGCCTGAGGGTAAATCAGCTTCATATTCTTGTGCTCCACCCGTCCAGTCTCGGCAATTCTTCTACCGCATCAGCATTCCTCTCTCCTATAACTCATTGTTTTTTTGATGCGAAAGCATTGTGAAACACGATTTCAAGGTGGATGTGCTTCTGTAACCATAGATTTGGATCTTAATTCAGCTTTTCTTCCATAACATTTTGAGAGCTCGCTGACGTGTGGATTCGAGCTTTTGAATTGCTCCATGTCGGCACCTAACTAATTTCTTATTGGAAATACTCAGGATTACTGCTCTCTTCTTGCTATCGTCTTGCCCTGACAGTGGATAGCAGTCTGTTCTTTGGCAAGCTTGTGAGAGTGCTGTATATGGTCAGTTTTGTTGATCTCTAAGGGGCGTCTCAATACTTTATTGTTACTGTATTTTACATTTTTCAGCCGTTGCTTATTCCAGCGACCCTTTATAAATTTTTTGTTGAATTTCTCGGATTCAAATCCTTATATGTCTGGCCATATGGTCGAACAACATTGACACGCTTTGTTTACAAACCATAGTGTGATGTGGCTTTACCTTTGCTGTTCCAAAACTGAGCAATACGAATTGCTCCGCCTATAAACTTGGGGGGGGGGGAGGAAAGTGGTAGTACGTAAGTCATTCTGAGTGTCATTGGGGCCGAGTACTCGTTCGCCTTGTTCCTACCATTGAGTTACTACCGCCCAAAAATATCATTGTTTTCTTCCAAAATCCTTCCACTTACCCCAAGTGCAGCTGCTTCCTTTGATGGATTGAGGCACAACTTGTGTGCGACTTGAGTTCACATCAGTCATACGCCGTTATTCGCGTTCTACACGCATTATGGAAAGAATCAGGCATCTCACCGCTGTCTCAAACGCTAATTTTTTTGGGAGTTGGAAATGCATTTTCTGGATGTCTGTCGTTCGTTGCGTTCCGTCTGTTAGTTTATAGACCTCAGGTTTATTCCCTGTTATTTGTGAAATTTCATTGTATGCACTTTCATTTCAGAGATTTATCATCGTCTGTGCTGGGGATCGTAAAATGGCTTTCAATCTTACTGTCTGCTGGCCCCGTAGTTTCCAATATCATGCTGCACTCATGTCTGATGCACAATCTCCCGAAATACAGACCAGTATTTTATTATTCATTTATTTGAGCTAAGAGTTGGAAAGTAATGCCTTCATTATTGACTGGGTAACCTATTTGATAGCTATGGTAGTTGTGAACTTTCTCCAGTCCTTGTTGCTAGTTTGTTAACCAGAATTGTTGGCAAGATGCCAAATTCACTGCTAATTTATGCTTCATAGGTGGGTTAAAGTACGATTAGGTGCTTAAACAATGTTAGATGTTGGAGATTTTCCACACATATTTGGTGCTTCTTGTAGTAGTTCGTGGCACACGCGCATGCATGGTATCCTTGGCCTTTACCTTTATTCAGGTACTAGGATTTACCACTTTTTATTTCACGTCATTTAAAGCTTAGGATTAACGTGCTATGTATAGTCCTCGATGTATCTACCTCTAATTTGACGTGGGAGGTAAATTTGGGCTAAAATTTTGTGTACTAACCAGTTCCCTTCTAATAGTTTCCCAAGTCCGCATTATGTTGCGCCTTTGTTTTTGCAGATTTTTGAGCCTTCGGTTTTATGTCTCACGTCAACATGGCGCTATTTATATTGCCTAGATTCATTCCAAGTACATTTTCATGATCAAATCCTCTTGTAATAATGTCGGATTGTCCGTCCTTTTTTGGTTTAGAAATTCGCGGAATAATCGCTCGCATTCAAATCAAAACATAATAAGATCGGATTGTGACAGCAGGAATGTAGACATTCCCAAATCTTTCTAGGGTTCATTCATTAATAGGTAAGATTTTGATATATTTTTTGTTACTGTCGTTTTAGGCTTCATGAAGCGTCTGTACCCACCAAAATTCGAAGAGTCTCTTCGTCAATAGGATCTCCTACACTTCCCTCCACCTCCGCTACTGCTGCTTCAATGATGGCATCGACGCCCAGGGGTGGTCTGACTTCGTCCACACCTTCCGTTCAGAGATTGCTGACAAACTCCAACGCGTCGATGCCACCAAGACGTGTGCCTATGAATGGAATTACCACTACAGCTGTAGAGAGCCAGTCGTTGGCAGGCCTACCACAGCAGCAACAACCAACTATCCTGCATCGTCGTGTGCACCATCCCTCTAGTTTGCTTCGACGTAACCAACAAATGTGGGGCCAAGAGAAGTCCTCCTCCAGCTTTTCTGCTGCGAATACAAATCCGGCTGCGTTTTACACCGCTTCTAGTTCTTCAGCCGCTACATCACTTCTTCCTCCGCCCCCAACTTCGGTTGTAGCGAAAGTGGCTCGAGACGCAGGTCACATTGGTGGTATTTCAGAGGTTCAGGTGGGTTTATTGGGACCCCTTTCACCTCACCTTCCCTTGATCATGTTAATTTAAACATCCTTACTTAGTTTTATTGACTCGAAGCAGTGTTGTGATTCCTGCCTCTCCGAAGCTTCTGTTGATTCCATGCTTGATGTTATGCCGTGCGGTCATCCTTTCAATCATTCAGCTAGTTGAATTGACTGCAACTATTCGAAATCGCATCAATCTTGAGCCGTGTACCTTACTTTGATTGTATAAATTGTCCGGATTTTATCGATTTGCTTTGTTAAGCCTGTTTGAAAACTTGGATCTTGTGGAAGTGTGATCCCACCTATCCTTCATTTTTACTTCGCTTTCTACGTTCGCATTCTTTGTCTGGTCGAAGTTTAATCCTCTGGTTAGGAATATTTATGCTTGCTTTGGCAGCCGTCAAATTACACAGCATTGGAAATCTAAAATCGGAGTCGGTTTCTGTTTTTTTAAAAGAAACCGTTCACATGAGGTCAGATAGTTACAAATCTTGTCGCCATCCGATTCGAATTGAGTCAAATTGACATTGATACCTTGACAACTTCTTACCGCAGTTGAATAATGAAAGTGAATGTGCGCAGCACTACCGTTTATGAAAACATGTCGTCTAACGCATTTATCACCGGAATCGCATTCATATTGTCTTGCTGATTTTTCTTTAATAAACCTTGTGACGTGTTCTTTATCAGGGCATGGTAACTGCCTGCATTAAGTCTTGCTACAAGTAAATCGGTTGAGTTTGAAATGGCATCTACAAAATGGTTTTGGTCTGAGAGTCATTACTTCTGACATTTTAAAAGCAGCTGGACTGGCCGATTCGGTGGTGCAGACATGGTTGTTGCGTAATTGACTGTTTTTGTCCCGCGACTTAGAAGGCTTCAAACTTTTTTTGTTATGCTCTTTTTGACTTTTGAGGTCGGAATAAGACACGTCGGTAGATGGGGATGGTTCATTTTTGGCTAAAATAGTGTTGGAAAGTTTGAGTTGAGGGCATGAATTCACGCCAATTAGGTGGTACGATAGCTAGGGAAGATCGATGATAACATGTAATTGAACATGCCTTGCCCCACTGCAGAACTGCTCTTTTTTGGGTGCCATCCATCCTCCGTCTTCAGTGATGATTCTCCTACGTCACCCTAAATGACCATAATACGATGGATTTGCAGCATAGATAAACCGTGGCTATTAATTGTAGTGCGTGCCGTCGATCGTACTAACTCCTGTGGTTGTAGAGATCATTTTGAGGGCCGATCAGTGTTATGCAGAGGACATCCTCTGTGAGCCAGTCCATTTTCGTATCATAGTTTATCCACAAGTAATGTTAGGAAACTGATATGCTCTTTGACTGTAGCAGAAATTACTGCCTCCACGTACATGGTATTCAAGGTCAGTTTTGAATTGTCTGGACCCAACGTTTGTCTGCTAGTGGTCATTGGTGAAAGTGCAGAGCTAGAAGCTGCTTAAAAGCCACTTCCGTTTCATGGTAGTCGTATTCCTTATCCGACACATGGTTGTTAGCTACCCTGAGATCACGTCTTTGAGGTGGTTTGGAGCCTTTGATGGCTGAAGATGCTGAATAGTTGAATGTCGTTCTTTTTTAGATGCATAGCGTCATTGTGCAAAGGATCATTTTCGTTAGGCAGAAGCGTTGCTTTCCTCCCTTCGTCTCGGCTTTATCCCCCTTCCTCTTAAACGTGCCTTTCATGCAATTACTGACTCATTGAAGCAAATAGTTTAACGAAATTTCTGTTTAGTCATCGTGCGCCTCATCTTCAGTTAACCCTTCATTAATTATGGTCTCTCCTTTCTCAATGGATGGCCGGAATGTGGATGGTAAAATCATTTCATTATTACGTCAAGATGCATATCTTTCCCACCATTTGATGTTGTAAAATGGCGTGATTAATTATTACAGCATCTCGGGTATAGTCGTTGAGTGATACTTCGGGCCACAATGGACTCTAGCTGGTATTTCGTTTTGGATGCTCCTGTTATTCTAGTCAGTGCGCGGGGGTGCTGGAGAAAAAAGTGGACGGAATCCCTCATTTCGAATCCTTTTTTTTTATTCTCGGGCATTTCTTCCAGACTGTTCTTTTGGAGAACCGGATAGAACTCGACTGGCTGACACTAATTTGTGCGAATCCCCTTCTGTTGGATAATTTCAACCTTCAACATGCTTCGGGGAGACTAGGAATAAAATCAAAGTCGGTGTCAGTCAACTAAGGGAAATTTGGATTTAAGAAAGCGCTTTCACTCCAAAGTACAGGTTTTCTACTTCCATTGTAACTCTGCACCTCGACTGGAACGATGACCATATGGTTATTTATGGTACAAACTTTCTTTTATCGTGGTAATCCTCAAACACAAGATGACTATATTTCCACGTTTTATACCGTGTGCTTTAACTTTATTCCTCCTGTCCCCATCGGGACGTTTTTCTCTGTTGCAATGAATCAATTTGGCAGAATCTAGATGCATCTACAATGTATTCACTATTGACTTCCAGTTGAAACCGCTTCTATAAATAGGTCTATTTTACACATGACTCCACCCCTTCATGGCATTATTGAGATATCACCTTATGTTCACACTACACCTCATCCACTGCTGAGTAGTTGTGTGATTGCTTTTCAATTGCACATCGTTTTTCTTCACTACGTAGGCATCTAACCACTTCAGCTGTAGGTAAGCACAAGAATTGGAGAAATAACTCAATCCAGGGTTACCGTTCTGCGTCGAGTATAAGGCATCCTTGTTGGACCGTATTAGCGTACCACTTTATAATAATCACTGTCAGAACATACCCTTGGATTTAGCATCTCTTTATGCTACTCATTCTTCACTAATTGTCGGTTTATTCTAAATGGTTGATCCTCTTGTATGCCTCTCTTTGCAGTGTTAATCCACTTTTTGCTATCCAAGTACCGTGAAATCATTAAAGACCGTGATATTTTCCGTCTTTGAAGCCCGTAAAAGTAAATCCCAAAATCAGGGCCCTTTGAATGATGCAGTTTTAACCATCTAGCCTGACTGCTGTCAGTTTTTTCTCTGTTCCTTTCCCCTTCTCGTCTGCTCCTCCACCTATTTGTGGTGCATGCCTCCTATGGCTTGAAAAGCACAAACATGCAATGTTTAAGTACTCCCCATCTGCGTGTTTGTGACCAAAATACCTTTCTAGCTCGTCATACTTTTTTGACACCTAGATTCCCTTACCTGGGGTTGTGACACGCTCCATTAAAAGGAACTGAACTATGCTGGGAAAGTACAATGGAGCATAATAAATCAGCGTTATGCTGGGAAGGCAAAGCATTGGATTGGTGCTGATGAATCTTCTTCTAAAGTTCTGGTAGCGAACGTGTTAGTTATCACCGTTGTGAAATTCCGGAAATTCTAATGATATTCCTTTGCCTCGATCATCTACCCATTTTAAAACGAGAGCTTGTTTTCCACCCTCCTTATCATTTATCGTCTTTGTGTTTCTTGTGCATTTAAATGTCATGCTTTCCATGGTAAGCATGACATTGAGGGCTTTCTTGTATGGATCTTAGAAGTATCTATCAAGTATCAAGGCAATCACTTTTTTAATGGCTAGATTGAGTCGCAAACTATAGGAAGCTGAGTATTTTTATGGCCCTCTCTGTCTCTGCAAAAGCCGATTCTCCTCTAGGCAAGTCACCTCCTCCAATTGCTCTTGTATAGTCACCTAGCAGATGAGCGGGTTTCTCGTAACTCTTCTCTACCCTTTTTGACGCGATTTTGCTTTTCGAGTCAAGTCTACCTTGGGTTGAACGTGACTTAAGTTCCATAGTACCTATTTGACGATATGTTCAAGTGGTGTTCTCTCGTTTACGTTTTCTTGAGCATAAAATGGTTGATCTACAGGATTTCAAATTTCCCCATTGCTGGAGAGGAATAATTTATGTTTTCATACACAAATAAGACAAGTTGAAATGCAGCTTGAACCCAAGTACTTTTTTTTTAAACCACACCCAACTCTTCAGGCAAAACAAATAGACTCTGGTTTGAGTGAACGCATTATTGAACTGCTTCTACCATATAGAGTCGTGTCGTCGTTAATGATGAGCGGGAGAAGTCCATCACGGGTCGATCACGGAAGTCGTCCCGGAGTGGAATGCGACAGTCTGCTTCCTCGGTACACAGTGGGTGTTTCTTCAATAGCTGTGATTCCACAGTACTGAGGAAAGACAGCCGTTTTTAACACACAAACTTGACTTCTCTCCTTAAGGTCCATACATTCAACACCTCACTGCAGCATCAAATCGTGCTAACTCCACTGCGGTGCTCCTCCGAACCTCAACAGCCAATCAGATTGCGGCGAAACTGCGAAGTGCTGCTGCTGCTGCAAGAGATCCTGCCACCACTGCTACATGGATGGGCTACAACCGTGTCGCAAGTACCTCCGATCTTCAATTAAGTGTGCCCGCCTCCTCTACGGTCGCTGCTTCCCGGCATTCCAATTCCACTGCTCCCGCCACTGGTCCTACCACTATGGCAAATCCTCATGCGTTCGGCTCGAACCGGCTGATTTTTATCGGATCCAAGTCATTAAAAAAGGTACAGTTTGTAGCTAATGGAGAGAGCCTACTTAATGAATTTTACACTGTCTCCTGCTTCGTTATCAGCATACTTAGTTGTCTATCTAACTGTCGCACAGAGATTCGTTGTTGCATCGACGCTGAAACCTTGGCCTTTGGAGCACTCTTTTGAGAACAATGTACTTTTCGATAAGATTTCGGCCCCCTTGTCAAAGCTTTCGATATCGGTGTATCACTGAATTATTTTGTGTTGCTTGGGCGCGGTAAGTCATAGCGGCATTTAATGCATGTGAACTATTGGAGGTTGCGAGCATTGTCTTCTTAGTTCACACGTGAGTTGTGGGTCAAGCATACACCTGGGTTCGAAGTTCCATGTATTAGTGGAGTGTTTTCGGTCTTGGCTACCGAGACCTTTGGATGAGAAGGTAATCCATACGGCAAGAGTATGCACTGACATATTAAAGTGTGAATGTTTTGGAAACTTGCACACCACTGTATATGTATGAGGTCTAATATGTGAGTATGCATAGTAGAAGACATCCTTGGCGTTGCATTTTACGTCTTCATTCTCAGGCAACCTTGGCTCATCTGTGTTCATACACTGTTTGTGTATGCAGGCGCGCACTACCTAAGATGACTGTCATTTCGATCAAGTGTATCTGGGCCAGGTGACGGTATGTATTGATTGTGTATGGAATAAGGTGCATTGTCCGCTTACTGTTGTGAGCAGTACGGCGCGTCAGCCGGCGGCTACTTGGCACTGTGTCATGAAATTGAAACTGCGACAGCTTTAATTGGAATGAAACCGACAAAGTTAGTAACGCCATGGGATAAAACGACCGAAAGAAGGGCAGTGATTGGCTAATTTTGTTTGCCTTTTATTTGAAAATGGACTTGAATGTTTGTTTGGCTTCGTTCGTACCAATGGGGCTTCCGAAACGTGTGAATGGTGTTTTGCCAGTGATTTTCAAAGAGCAAAGTGGATTGTTGAGGCTGCTGGCTTAAAGTATCCACGGGCACGCCGGGCTGACATTTAGCATGATAATTTGGACAAGCTGGCTTGTTTACGCAGGTCTCGAGGGATCCAAGTACCCTCTATCTCTCATCAACAATTAAGGTTTGGCTAGTATGTTCTTTCGTCCTCTCATAGGTTGTCAAGTGCATTCCTTGGTTTCTTCCTTATTCGTCATAGAAGTAGTCATTTTAGAATAGTAAGCTTGGTCATATTTTTACTTTAAGACTTAAGTGTCACTGTTATCACGAAAAGAACATCTTTGATGCAATCACCCACTGCTTAAACTTTACTTGATGCGTTGAGTCGAGTTTCGTCTTATTTATCACCCAGAGATCGAAATCGATAGAGTTGATTTGCATTGAATGAGGTTGGCCTTACCTTTTTACGGTTTAAAATTTCACTTTGAAATTATTTGGAGCCCCGCTGTTAAAAGGTTCTTGTAAGCAAAGCTTTTCCAGCTCCTCTAAGGCCTCTGTAATTCAATTGGCAGTCACAGTTGGTAGATTGTTGATAAGCCAATTCATGGGGCTGCCAACGACGAGTCGATATTCAGTGTCAGTGTGGTGTGTCGGAGACGACTGTCACTTTTACATTTGGCTGCTGAACGTTGAAAAAGGCGAATTTTGCTACCAAGGTATTCATTTGGATGGTAGTCCTTATAATATACGACTACGTACTTGCAGACTCTCCGTTCCTGAATGCGCCAACTCGACAAAATGTTGGCAGCACTCGAGGTGGGTGTGAGGACATGCGCATGATCTGCTCGTATTCATTAGCTAGTTGTTGCAGTGAGAGGTATCAGTTCCTGTAATCTGACGCGTATTCAAAACAAGAAACACGTAGTGCTGGCAATATTACGGTATGATCTGGATTGCTACAATATTTTCGTGTTCAACTTCTTGATGCACATTCTTCTGATGGCTACTGGTTAAATGAATATTTTTTTGGGGATGAACTCCTCGAAATTTGAACTGTCAGCCACTTGTACTTAGATATGCGCATCTTGGCATGATCTCCTCCAGTTTGGCGCGGTGCTTCCCCTTTTACAACTCCTGCACGTATACTTGGTCACTGTCTTGAAGGTAATATTATAGAGGGAATATTCTACTGCTTCAATCAGTTCATTAAACACCAGGATCAGCTCCCTGTCGTTGTGAAGACTAAAGGTGGTGCAAGAAGTGTCAGAAAAGGATATATTCCTCGCTCGGATCTGGCCGATTTCTCCACTTGTTCCGGTTTTTAAGTCAAATATCTTTTCGACTTGCCCGCTTTGGGGCAAACTGGCATCATAATTCACGATAGGGCGTAATAAATGCATGCATATGTAAAGTTAAACCTGGATGTGAGAACCGGTTATTAATACAGTTTTTTGGGGGGTTTTAACACTAAAATTGGAACGAATTGAGAGGTGGGATACTTCTCTCCCTCTATCATTGGTGTAGCCCTCCTCAGAATTGCACAACTGAAGTGCCTAGAGGTTAGTTGGAGGTTTTGCACAAAGGAAGAATTACTGATCATGTGCACAGCGAGTTTGCCCTTTCATTCTCCTCAGCAGTCCATCGTTACCTCTTCACCTTACCTCCAAGTTGTCATCAGGATCTGGATACATTGTAGATCATGGTGGTGAATTTCAATTCTATGTCAGACACCTTTCCTCAACCCCGCTTTAGCCTCAACTTACAATGCAATGTAGTTCATGGTGTTGCATTCAGCCTCAATGCTTTTGACTTTGAGGAGCACATGACTTTATTGGTTTGATCTCAATGCTATTGGAATTCGTTTATTTCCTGTGGTTCACCAATCGCTTTATAACGACTAAGTTTGCGTGTGTGAATCACATGTTTACAACAGGCAGGTCGTGGGCTGATGCATTTGGGCCCAGCTACCTAACTTTTTTTAGATAACACGCAGGCTAACGTTGTTTCAGAGGACAGGGGAACTGCTATAGCTCGATTTCTTTACTGCTCTCCAGCACGTCATCAACACGTAAAGTGCTGGAACGGCTCATCAAAAGTGTAGTTATTTTTAGATCAAATGCATCTAAACATATTGTTTTAATTGATCTGTTGGCTACATGATAGGGTAAAATAGTCGTCCGTCACAAGCTGGTGAGAAGTTTATTGCGCATCTGCGGTGTCAGGCTTAATTAATTACATCTGGCCGCATGCATGTATCGCTACCAGCGCTCATTTTGATGGTTATCTTTTTGTGCATTTGATTTAGTCCGGCTCTGGGAACCGCCTAACAGTGGTTCCTGGTCTAAACATAATCCAGGCACCCCGTCACCACCAGCAGCGGTCTCAGACATCGCCAGCTCCTCTTATTGGTTCCACTTCCATGCATTTGGAGACGCCACGCGAGATTATTATTGACGCGGCGGAAGAGGACGATGGTGTTGGGATTGATGGTGATGTTGAATCGGTGGAGGCGGCGGCTGAGTTGGAAGCTGCGGTTGCGGCATCAGCAATCGCCTCTGCATCGAATAACGTCGACTCCATCGATCATCACCAACAATTTTCTCGCACTACTGGTGGTAGCACTCATCATAAAACAAATCTGCGATCGTCACTTTGTAGTGTGCCTGCTGGGGTTTGTCTTAATGATTTTGATCTCTCCTATCTCTCTAAAAACATTCACCTTTAAAGAGCTGGTAGATAGTTTGGGAGACTCATTTTTCAAAATGGATCAGTGACAAAATTGTTTTCGTACTCGACAAATGTCCAAATTGAATCGTCGATTTATTCGATAGTCTGCGACCTCTCTGCGCAGCTTAGTTTGACATTTTTGCCTACCTTTAAGGAAAACCTACTTCTGAAGAAATACTTATATTTGCCAAGATTATTTCCCATTTTATTAGCTAATAGGCGAGCTTTGATCTTATCGGCTGGGCAGACACAACTACTGCGTTGGAATGAAGCAATGAGTTTAACAATGTTTTAACGGATAACTCTGTAGAACAAACGCATGCCGAGTACTTATCAGAGTTTCTTCGTAGATCGGGCGTCTTTGATGTTACTTATTGGTATCTGTCATATGAGTTTTTCAGGCTAACGATACGCAGTGAGAATGTGGGGTAATACTTTGCCTTTTCTGCAGCACAGCCAATAGTTTTATCACCGATTTTTGGATTTCTGTTTCCCATGCGATACGAAAGAGCGGTCAAGGCGAAAAACGTGAGGTCAACCCTTGCATGCTTAATGAACCTTGACAACCCTCCATTTTTGAGTCCTGTCCAGTTCTTCGTCACTACCTCAATTTATGCTTCTGGCATATCCCTCAAACTATTTCCTCTTTTTTACTGAAAAATTTACTGCTAATGAACTGATTAGCGTTTTGGACACTTATTTTTGCAAACCCCCATCCTTCACGCTACTCCCAAGGGAAATGTTGTGAAGCCGCTTCTCGGCTACTAATTTTCCCGACTTTCTACTCTCGTCACAAACAAGACTTCTCTCCTGACTGATGACCTTTTAGCTGGATTGTGAGACTCTGTCACGTGGGGCTGACGTCTACTCGAGACTATTGACCAAAAGTGTCCCTTGTTTTTGCCCATAAACACTGTTTGGCCTATGTTCCGTACTTTTTAATCACTTCTTCAGCACTTTTTTGCTTTTCCTCTATTTTAAAAATCATGCTAATTGGTTCTGTAGAGTAGTCAAAAATAACTTCGCCTTTTTCAGCAAATGCTTGTCTTCCAAACGCGCCGCATGTGAAGCACATTGGATAATGTCACAACTATCGTCGTCTTCTTCAATCAGCTTACCTCTTACCTCAATGAAGGTCACCGGATTTTACGAGCCTTCATAAATGCCTCCCTTGACTCCAAAGGCCCATTGTTTTCTCTCAGCACTTTCTGTCCCTTTTTTATTTTTCCTTTTTTCTACACCACATCGCCGCTCACCACAGTAACGGCACATCATCGCATTTGAGCGTGCGTGAGCGCGTCCCTCATCTCCCCTCCTCCCTCTGGTGTGAATCCTGGCATTTTTACCTCCTGCACTGTGCCAAGGAAGAAGTCCTCTTTCACTTGTTGTACGTGTGTGTGCGTGTGTGTTTGAGGCTCCTCTGCCTGCATTTGCTTGAAAGTGGAGGGTCAAGTGTTGGATAAACACCGCGTCTGCGTTCTAACACTCCTTCACCCACCAATCAGGCGACCGCTCAATTGGGCGTGAAATCTCCAAACCGAACAGGTGAATGAAGCCGATTGTATGTGATGCACCCACCTCTTTCTCCCGCTCCTACTCCCACACTGTTCCTGTTACATTGTTCGTGGCGAATTGTAAAAAGTGTTTTCTTTTTTGAAACCATGATACTGATTTTTTTAAAAGCAAGGATCCCAGATCCGGTCATTTTCAATGGGGTTAGAGGTTTCGTTAAGTCGCTTCATGTCTGGTGCTTTTGTCCTATCGTTAATCGAATTTCGTTTCGTAGATGAGCTCGCCGACTTGGTCGTTGTTGGGATAAGATAATCGGAGAATACTTTTTTTCCGGCAGCCATCTCCATCTTTAAGAAAAACTTTTCTTTGGTAGGTTGTGTCTAGGAGGTCTAGGTACTTGTTTAACTTCCAATTAAATAGTACTGTGTAGGCAGGTCTCGATAAGCGACCTCATCTGCACTTCACCGACGCCGTTCGTGGACAACCCTAGTGTTGTGAGAGCAAAGTTGTTGCAGTGTTTGACTTGTGGTGTGGGTGATGAAGAAATGGTGAAACGAAAAGTTCATTTTCGAATCAAGAGTCAATCAGTCTTTGCATCTGGCCCTTGCCAATTGCTGCACCTGAGACTTGTCGGCTTACCTTTCACAACTTATCCAGTCGATGCGCTGCTTTTGACACAATGCCTTATGGAATGTGATGCAATAAGACCTTTGTGTAAATTATAACTAATTAAACGGTTGTCATGGATGCGCTCCGTTACCTTGCCTTCTTCACATACCGTTTACGGGCTTAACACCTCAACGAACTGGAACAGTAGAGCAGACAAACTGGCAATCCGATGATAGGAGTGTTACCAAAACCACAATGGAAATACTTTACAGGTAGTCAGGTGTGTGTATGCCAAGCGTTGTCTTTAAGTTTCTGAGATTTACCACCGCTGAGGAATGTCGCTTAATAAACTTGAGGTCATTTGAACAAAGCCTCTGTTTCCTTTGAAGTGATCCCTTCTGATTGGACTCATGAAGATGATTGCAGATGAAGCATGCAGTTTCGGCACGATGTCCAAGTTTGACACCCCACGATCTCACGAAAGTGTCCTTAAAATTGATCGGTCTGCACCATTTGCGGTTCATTGAGCAATGGCCTTAATGAAGTACCTAAACTTCAGTTGGAGTAAGTGCTTTCTATGTTTTTTTTTGACTAGCACAGTTGAGCACCACATACTACTTATTTGCTCACAAAATGAACTTGGTATTTTAGCGACCTCTCTGCTGATTGAAAATTGATCAGATAATTGCCATTTTCATTGATAAAATAAGCTAAAAATTTCCATTTATTCTTTGAGGTCGATTTAAGTTGCACCATTAATGTACAGTGCGAGGAAAGGACTATATCTTTGAAATCGAAGTATGATCCATCAGTACCGGCTAGTTCACGTGCATAAATTTACTGTTACTAGCTCCATAAGGCCCACGCAGTCCGCAATTTCTACGAGTGTTGTAGCAACGAATTTGTGGATCTCATAAATATCTTGCTTATTGCCTTAACTACTAAATTTGATTGCGTGGGCATTTATGGCCCGAAGCTTTGTACTTCTGCTGAACGGCATATGGCTTCGGCTTTTCATTGATCCTTCTACTCTTTGGCGCGGCAAGAATACATATGCATTGGCCAAATATCATATTTGTTCAACAGATTCTTTGTGCGCAACATTGATGGCGGTAAAACGTGGACTTGATCCTGCTTAGATCTGGCGTTCTACGAGAATGCCGTTAAGAGCAGTACTAAAATTACCTGGAACCATCTAGGATTTTACTACGGAGCTGTCTATGGTACCAGTATGAAGAACCTAATGAAATGAATGCACCATACCTCCACCTCTGTTTGTTGGAGAGAAGCCGGACAGCTGTGGCATGGAAATACAAAAGTGTGAGTAAAGGAATTAAGAAGAGTGGACTCGACCTTTTACCATCGCTAGTACATTTAAGCTCTATTCGTCTTTGCGTGGTCCTATTTTAGACCAATCTTTCTACGACCAGCGACAGATGGGCGTGATTTCCTCACAGTCGCTCTTTTGCTGACACTACTCCTAAACAGGGCAAAGCTTCGGATTCAGCAGTCAGTTGCCACCTCATTTACACCCAGAATCGATGACTAAGGTGGACGATTGGTGGGCATGGCGGTAAGTTAACCAAAGAGAACGCTGTGGAAGGCGCTACTGTACTTCCACTGGGAGGTGGACCATGTCAGTAGCCTGCTGGATCCTTCCGTACAACTTCATTTCGATTTAAGAAAAACTTGGACCACTGTATGCATCCATGGTAATTGAGAGGCACAAAATATTTAGGTTGTAGGTAGCATTTGCATTCCACGAGGTCGCATCAACGCAAGAAATTCACTAATGTTTTTCGACAAATAAAGCTTGTGTGACTTTTTAAAAAAAACATCAGTCATGCTACCCAGGCAAGGGTTGTACTTTAAGGCTGTTAACCTAACAGGACACTTCTTCTTCAGGCCATTTCGCACGCATTGGGGCAATAAAGCCCCGCTTGTAAATCCAAAATTGTGTCTTGAACGCTGCGGTTCCGTTTCCTTTTACTTTAGACGACCACATTGAAGTGCGAGAATTCGCATCGTAAACTGGAGTATAATCTTCTCTTTCCTGAAAGATGAAGTCTTTCTATTTGCAAATTCCATAAAATCAGTCTGATTGCCATCTAAACGGTGGAGAATTATTTCCCAAAATTAAGCCACTAAAATGTCGTTAACGAGATCGGCGGTTGTGATTTTACGAACCCCCGACAAGGAAAAATTTTACACTAATTCCCACAGGCGATTGGTTTGTGTCACTACTGAGGAAAAAGAGCATAAATTTCACTTCAATGGCCTTGACTCCTCTAAATGTGAGTGTATGCTCATGAACACCGTAGCTTCCTTGTCCGGAATCTTAATTTTGGTAGGCAAGATCTAATACCCTTCTCGGGGTTGCAACTTAGGTGATAAATTGTATTGCAAGAAGAAAGTTAATTTTATGGACATTTTTCATAATATTGCCCCTACCCGATCGAGATTCGATCCGAAGGGCTTTAACAAAGTTAACTGACGTTCTGTCACTTTTTTTTCTACCTGACCATAATTTGAATGATAAACAGGAAGTATTCTTCTTTAAGGACTTTCTGGTGCTTTGCCAAGTAATAGCTCGGTTTTGTTATCACTTATTCAGTGTTTCAGAAATAAGCCTATCTTTGCTCCTCTGTCGCCTCTCGTGCAATGAAAAGTGCTTTAATTGTTCACTCACCTCTCAGTTTTGGTAACAAGCCACTCAGAGGCGTGTCATTTTTGTGAACCGGCTTTGAAGAAGAAGCCGGGTCCTACGAAAATGACAGCATCATACGCGTGACATGATAGTATGCCGTAAATAGCTTTTTAACTTTAAACTAATTTGGTGGTCTGTATGCACAATAAAGAACGAACAGAGATGTCTAA